CACCCCCCCAACCAACACACACATATTCATAAAGATATATATAGTACAGCGTCATCATGTAATGAGCAGCAATTGGAGTACTAAAGAAGAGAAACAGACCTTAAAATTTAGCAAAGCTCCAGTTGGAATGTTGGAGGTTTGAGCATAAGCTAAGAAGGAAAGAAAGAATTTATGACAGCAGAGTTGGAGATTTCAAAGAGATTATGATTGAAGGGGCAAAATTCAGCTGATATGAGACCACCAAGGTGGATATCTAACATGGGATTTTCTTGAACATAACGAATTTTATTTGCAGACAACAAAGCAAAATTAATTTGGATGAGGATTCAAAAGCAGAGTTATTCCAAAAGCTTCCAAAGCTAAAAGAATAAATAAAGTATAGGAAAGATAAGAGTAAATAAATGGTAAAACACGTTGAAAATGTTTTAACAAAAAAAGGAATATAATGTGCATCAATCTTAGCAAAAAAAAGAGAATTTTCTTCAAGTGAGCATTTACGTGGACAAAACTAGAACATATTTTTGATACATTTTGGTAATGTTGTTTACCAACTAACAACAATAATAAACTCAATATAATTTCATTAACGTTGTCGGAGATACTATTAATTACCAACTATTTTTTTAAAGTAAGATTGATTTCTAATTTAATAGATAGATTAAAAGATTAAGTAAGCTTTTTGCCTTTTGGAAAATAGGTAAAAAGTAGGGATAAAGCAAGATAGAGTGCTTGGTGTAAAAGTGTACAATCAATCCTTTTGGAAGTGTTGAAAACTTCAAGATCATGGGAGGCACGCCGCACGTACAATGTTTACGAGATAAAATGGCTAGTTTAAGACGATCGATGATAACACAAGATCAAGGCTGCAATATTATACGTACTTTCACGAAAAAATTACTCGCATTGAATATTTACACTTAACAATTAAATGCATCTATGTATATAAAATACTATTTTATTTCTTTACATCAACTATTTAATAATAATGATGGTGGTCGAATCATTTTTATCGTCACTTTAACTATTCTATGTTTCATCCCTACATGAATTTAACTTTAGTCTTCCATAGTTTTCAATGTAGCTCACTTTATTGCCCTATAGCCACACTCTTAACCACTCTTTCCGTTCACTTTTATTTATCTACTATATTAAAAATATATTTTTATTTTTATTTGTCCATTATACTGATACAAAAGTAAGATAATACTTTTTTTCTGTTTTACCTTTATCATTAACTACTCACTCCCCAAAACTTTTGAAAATGCTATCATCACTATGAGTAAAATTATAAAATACATACTTCATTTGTTTTTTCTTAAGAGAAGTGCGAAATCAAAATCAAAATCAAAACGGAGGGAGTACTTTACATCAATTTCATCACGTAATGCTGATAACTTAATACTCCCTCCGATCCACAATAAGTGACCAATTTATTTTTTTTATTTTGGTTCAAAATAAGTGTCCATTTATATAATCAAAAAAAAATTATTTTGTTTTTCCAAAATTACCTTTATGTACGTATCCCTAAAAAGTCATTTACTCCTCACATTTGAGAAGAGAAGTAAGTGCTACTATAACTATGGTACAACATTTAATGAATGATAGTTTAGTCACACTAACTATTTTAGTTTAGAATTTAGTATTACTTAATGAATGTGCCCAAAATAAATTGGTAACTTATTATGGATCGGAAGGAGTATCATTTGATACAAATAGGAAAGCATGGAAATATTTTTTGTAGTTTTACTTGCCTAAAACAGGACCAAGCAACTACGCAGTACTTAATTTGTACATGTACTTTCTGGATACGACAGAGAAAGTACAAGTCAAATGTCTAATGAATGTTGTTCATTTGTTTGTAACCGTCACACTGCGTCATCTTTAAGCAGTTGGTGGCTGGAAAGATTCGGGCGAAATAGCGCTAAAAAACACCATAAAAAGAAACTTTATTCTTGAATGATTATATTAATGGAAATAAAAGTGAATGACTTTATATTAAAGTGAAAGTGGTATAAAAAAGTATGCTATGAAAGAAAAAAGCAAAATGCACAACAAGGCAAGATAGAATAACATACTCATGTATCATCTTTCGAGGTGAACTTATTTGGGAAAACTTCAATTGAATTCATCACTTTCATTTTGAGTCAAACTATATACTATACATATGCACACAAACAATTGCTTACATATAATAATAATAATAATAATAATAATAATAATAATAATAATAATAATAATATCAAAATCATTCTAAACCTACGGCCCTTTCTTTCACATTGGGATACTCGTTCTATTTGAAAATGTTACAAAATATTTGACACGATTTTATTTGTACACGATGTCTATAATGCTCCAAAAATTGAATTTCTTTAAACTCAAAACTTTAAAACTAGCCTTAAAACAATGTGGTGTTTTTCTCTTAAACCAAAATTTCAACTTTATTTTATTATTTTTCTTTCAGATAGTCAAACTAGTACTCTAAATACAGTGGCTAATCACACACTCATATCAAATGGGATAAAGGAACTAATAGCCTATTTGGCCAAACTTATTTTTAAAATTACTTTTTAACAAAGTACTTTTGGTGAGAAGCATTTCTAGTTTAGCTAATTAATTTGGAAAATGCTTTTGAATAGCAATTCGTGTTTGGTCAAAATTTAAGAAAGTGTTTCTAAGTGTAATTTTCTCAAAAGTACTTTTCAAAAATGTATATCTGGGAAGAAGTTATTTTTTTCTACTTCTCAAAAAATTACTTCTGTTTCTACTCAAAAATATTTTTTTTCCTTCTAAAAGCTTGGCCAAATACCTTAAATTTGGAAAAAATATTTTTGGCCAAAAATCCATTTACGCCGAAAGAAGTTTGGCCAAACAGCACAAGGCGATAAAGTAAAAATAGCATGGGGCTAGCCAGTTTTCGGATTGATAATTTAAAAATAGACAGCATTTGCAAAATCATTGAAAAATAGCCACTATTTTGCTGCAATACGAAAAAGTTCCAGCATAATATACTGGAGATTGGTGCACATGTATATGAGCTTTCAGCATATTATGCTGGAACTCCAGCACACGGAAAGCTCCAGCATAATATACTGGAGATTGGAGCACATGTGTATGCATTTCCAGCATAATCCATAAAAATTGCACGGGGCGCCCTATTTGGTCGCCCCCATTTAACCTATACCCATTTTTTTAAAACTTTTAACTTGTACCCATTTTTTAAACAATTTCAGCTCTCTTTCTCCTCCCCTTCTCCTCCTTCATTTTCTCGGCAGCCATTCCAACCATCAGATCCAATTCTTCTACATCATCACCATATACTTCACCTAAGATTTGGTTAGTTCGGGGTTACATGAAGAACCTAAAAGAAAGAAAATCTTGGATAATCTCCTTTTAAGATGTTTATAGTTTTTCAACTTTTCATGTTTATAATCATTCTGTATATGATTCTCTTGTTATGCTTGATGTTAACGAGTGGCGTTCCAGATTTGGACCTTCCCCTTCATTTTTCAAGTTTGCGGCAAGTTTTTAAGATCAAATATCATGTACTATCCGCTTCGATATATTTCCTATATATCTTGGTATTGGAATTCCTCTGCGAAATTCATTGTACCTAACAACACTTCTTTCTATGTCCCTATAAACTGCCATATATAAAAACATAATCAATTAAATGTGTGAAAATATAATTTTGTGATTTTATTGTGGTAAGTTAAGTCTAAAACTTCAGCTCTAGAGCTGAAATTTTCCAGTTACAACACAAAAACTTCAGCTCTAGAGCTGAAGTTTCCAGTTACAACACAAAAAGTTCAGCTCTAGAGTTGAAGTTTCTCAGTTACAACACAGAAACTTCAGCTCTAGAGCTGAAGTTTCCAGTTACAACACAAAAAGTTCAGCTCTAGAGTTGAAGTTTCTCAGTTACAACACAGAAACTTCAGCTCTAGAGCTGAAGTTTCCCAGTTACAACACAGAAACTTCAGCTCTCCCAGTTACAACACAAAAACTTCAGCTCTAGAGCTGAACTTCAGGCCCGACTACTAGAATGTTGAAGTTTTGCGTGATTGCCTTTGCTACTTCAGCCCCGTGTGCTGAAGTTATGCGAAAAAGCGGGTACACTTGCAATTTTTTTTTGCAAAGCGGCACAAGTTAAAATGTGACACAAAAAGCGGGTATAGGTGCAATGCCCCAGTATATTATGCTGGAACTCCAGTATATTATGCTGGAAGTTCACATGTAAAAAATTTGAATTCTAGTATACTATGCTGGAATATTTTCCGGATTTTGAACAGTGTTTTCGTTCAGATTTATCTTTACATGAAAAGTGACTAAATTTCGATCATTTTTGAAACTATGACTATTTTTCAATTACTACTTGTAAATCTGGCTATTTATGAAATTTCACCCGGTGATAAAAGGAAAAAAATCTCTCACGTCAGCCCATGAGCTCACTAGATTGGGCTCATCAATTTTTACATGTCTGATCCTGTCGATGGGATTGGGGCTCTATGCTTGGTATCTAAGCCCATGACAGATTATACATTTTGCTTCTCCATATAACTTTGAATTCGTCACATTGTGTTTCAAATTGTGATCTATTTGAAATCGTGACTGTTCTCTCATTGGGATTATGGACAGATTAAAAGGTTGATTACAACCACATGCAATGAAAATCTATATGTGCGCAATTCCAAATTGAACACATTGTATGGTTAATATAAAATTACAGGTTCATAACTATCAATTTTGTAATTTTAGTGAATTTTTACACATAAATTTATGCTCCACGTTCGAATTATTGGATTCAGAAGAACACGATTCCATTACTCTACATCCGCCTCATGTCCAACCTGGGCTCAAGTAATTTTGTATAAACTAGATATTTATTTTAAAACAATTATTGAAATTGTTGTTTAAGAATATGATTTTTAAAAATCCCATGAAAATTGTTCCACAATGATTTTTAAAATGCATAAAACATCACTATTTGTTTCTTATTATTCCATCGTAGTTCTGGAATATGCATAATTTGCTGTATAGAGAGCCTAAAGAAAATGGAAATGACCTGCTTTATATTTTTAAAATTTTTAAGGTATGTTGTAAGAAGCAAGTTGGATGCGTTTATTTGATCAAAAGAGCAATTATACTCTTTAGTCAACTGATGCAATTAGTAGTTATTAAAGAATTGAACATCTGGAAATTTAGTCCATTGTATGATTGATTCGAAATTCAAGTTGCCCAAAGTCAATGATGTATTTTGTAAGTTTATAACGATTGTATGCTCGATTTGTGTGCCAACGAGAACATTTTGTTTAGAATTTACGAATGGCTAAAATTGTGTATGTACGCTAGCAAATTCCTTTTCAAACAATGGGAAACAACTC